TCGGAGAAGACGGGACTGGTGAGGAGGAGAGGGGTGAAGCTTACGGAGGATGAAAACGACGAGTACGAGGATTCGGAGGGACCATCACACCTTGTAGTCGGCAGCCCTCTCGCACAAGCTGCGGCACTCGATGATCTTCTCTTTGTCCGCCTGGATGCCGTCCTTGTCGATGTCGTTCACCGTGCCGTCGTCGCCGCCGCCCTTGTCCTTGTCCTTGTCCTTGTCCTTGTCCTTGTCCTTGTCCTTGTCCGGGTCCTTGTCGGTGCCCTTGTCCTTGTCCTTGTCCTTGTCCTTGTCCCTGTCCACCTTCTTGGAGCTCTCCTTGTCCTTGTCCTTATCCTTGCCCTTCGCCTTGGCAGCCTTGCCCTTGCCCTTCTTGCCCTTGCCCTTCGCCTTGCCACCGAGCTTCGGCTCCTTCTCCTTCGACCCGCTGACGCCCCCCGCCGCCTTCGCCGCGCGCTTGGGCGTCTTGAAGTCGGGGAAGGCCATGGGCGGGGACGGGCACCACCTGTCACCATCTTCCCACGTCCAGCACGCGGTCCCGTCCTTCATCGGGATGACGTCGTCGGCTTTGGCGCCGTCTATGATGCGGACCGCCCACGGAGAGCCCTCGATCTCCTTCACCGTGAAGGAGGCCTCGTCCTGCTTCTTGGCGATGGGCGTCTCGGCGATCGACTGCTGCGTCTTGTCGCTGCGCTGCTCGGCGATCGACTGCTGCTTCTTGTCGCTGCGCTTATCGGCGATCTGTGCCTGCTTCTTGTCGCTGCGCTTCTCGGCGATCGACGGCTGCTGCTTCTTGTCGCTGCGCTTCTCGGCGATCGACTGCTGCTTCTTCTTGTCGCTGCGCTTCGTGGCGATCGACTGCTGCTTCTTGTCGCTGCGCTTCATGGCGATCGACTGCATCTTCTTGTCGCTGCGCTCCTCGGACTCGGCCTCGCTGTCCTCCTCGCGCCCCTCGGACTCGTCGTCCTCGAGGTCGTCGTCGTCCTCGTCCTCGGTCAGCCCGTCCCCGCCCTCGTCCTCAGCATCGTCGCTCTCCGCGCGGGCGCCGTCGCCCGCTTTGCTGACGGCCTCTTCGCAGAGGGGGGCGAGGATGAACGAAACGGCGGCGATGAGGAGGAGGAGGGGGAGGAGGGGGAGGGGGGGCAGGAGGAGGAGGAGGTGGAGGAGGGCGATGGGGAGGAGGAGGAGGAGGAGGAGGGGGGGGCGAGGGCGAGGCTGAGGGGGGGGGAGATGAGGCGCACGGAGGAGGAGTGGGCACATGCCAAATGATGAGGAGGGTGAGGGGGGCACGGCGGGGAGAGGAAGAAGACGAGAAGGAGGATGGAGGGGAGTGCGCTGGAGGGGGGCAGAAAGAATCTGAGATTGAGGAAGAGAGGGATGAGGCTGACTGCCGAGGGGGTAGAGGACGAGGTAGACGGGAAGAACGAGGAGAGGAAGGAGATGGAGGAGGAGGAGGAGAAGGAGGAGGAGGAGGAGGACGAGGAGGAGGAGGAGGAATCCTGCAGCGCCACCGCCGCGGTCTTGCCCCTCCTGGCAGGGCGCGTCGTGCCACCTCGGGCGGGCAGTCGGGATGGCGAGGGCGGCGAGGACGAGCATTGGACGGATGGGGATGATGACGACGAGAGTGAGGGGAGCGGGGAGGGAGGACCGACCGAGGAGAAAAGTTGATGCGGGTTGGGATGAGGAGCGGGGAATGGGGGGGGCGTAAACGTTAGACGGGGAATACCGACGACAACGAAGATACAGGACGTGCTAGGAGGAGAGGTTTTGGGAGGAGGAGGAGGGGGAGGAGGAGGAGGAGGAGGAGGCGGAGGAGGAGGAGGATGAGGAGGTGGAGGAGGATGAGGGAGCATGAGGATGAGGATGAGGACGAGGAGGAGGACGAGGAGGATGACGACAACGACAACGACGACGACGAGTAGGACGATTTATCCCGCCGGCCGCCGTCGCTCGATACTTCGACGAGGCTGTCGGCATCGCTGTCTCCGTCGAACATCATCCCCTGCACCATCGCCCTGATGCGAACTGTGATCTTCGGCTGCTTGGGCGACGGGGTAAAAGGGGCCATCATCAGGCGCTGCAGCTCCAAGCCAAGGTCCCACTTGTTCCTGGGGTGGTGCATCCTCCTCATCCTCTTTCTCCTCCTCCTACTCATCCTAGTCATCCTGGCCCTCCTCGTCCTGCTCACCCTCCTGCTCTTCCTCCTCCTCATCCCCCTCCTTCTCCTTCTCATCCTTCGTGGCCATCTCTCCTCCTATACCTCCTCTGTCTCATCATCTTCGTCATCCTTCCTCACCTCCTCCTCCTCTCCCCCTTCACTCTCCTCCGCCTCCTCCTCCACCTCCCCCTCGCAGCTTATTCCCGCCACCTCCTCCTCCTCCTCACCTCCTCCTCCTCCACCACCTTCTCCCTCTCATCCTTCGTGGCCATCTCTCCTCCTGTACCTCCTCTGTCTCGCCATCTTCGTCATCCGTCCTCACCTCCTCCTCCCCCCCTCCTCCTCTCATCCGCCTCATCCTTCCTCACCTCCTCCTCCTCCACCTCCACCTCCTCTCCTCCGTCGTCATATTGGTTCCCTAATCGGTCCTCAAGGCCCTCCTATACCCCGAGAAAAGGTCGAGCGTCTTTTTGGCCTCGCAGCAGACGACGGCAGCATCGGTCCCCTGCTGCAGCACCGAAAAAGGGATGAGGGGAGGACTGGCAACGCGAGAGGCGGAGGGGGAAGAGGAGGGGCAGGACGAGGAAGAGGATGACGAGGAGGAGGAGGAGGAGGATGGCGAAGAGGACGAGGAAGGCGAGGACGGAGGAGGAGAGCACCGCGAAGGATGAGAAGGAGGAGGAAGAGGATGCGGAGGCAAGTGCGACGAAGAATTGGAGGGGGAGTAAGAGGGAGGAGTCGGACGGGGATAAGAAGGCTGGCGAGGAGGGGGTGGAGAATGAGGTGCTCGAGGGGAGCACGAGGACGGAGGAGGGGGAGGAGGAAGAGCAGGAGGATGGGAAAGATAAGGCACGATGGAGAAGGCCACTTCCCAATCGATGAGCTCGAACGTTAGCGTCTGGTTGATCTGGGTGGGGCACAGAAGTCGAGGAATAAATAGTAGTACGTAGTAGCAGCAGCAGTAACAGTAACCGAAGCAGTAGCAGTAGCAGTAGAACTAGTAGTAGTAGTAGTAGTAGTAGTAGTAGTAGTAGTAGTAGTAGTAGTAGGTAGTAGTAGTGGTAGTAGTAGTAGTAGTAGTAGTAGTAGTAGTAGTAGCAGTAGCAGTAGCAGTAGTCGTAGCAGTAGCAGTAGTAGTCGTAGCCGTAGCCGTAGTCGTAGCCGTAGTAGAAGTAGAAGTAGTAGTAGTAGTAGTAGTAGTAGTAGTAGTAGTAGTAGTAGTAGTAGTAGTAGTAGTAGTAGTAGTAGTAGTAGTGGTGGTAGTAGTAGTAGTAGTAGTAGTAGTAGTACACGCATGTATTTCAGACACTGCGACCTCGAACGCCGCCCGCAGCACGCGCCACCACCCGCTCGTCAATAGGTAGTTCCCGATCCCCGCGATGGCCTCTAGGGTGGAATGGGGCGGAGCAGGGAGAAGAGGAGGAAGAGGAGGAGGTGAAATGGCCTTGCGGCCGTGTTGGTTCCACGTGCACAACGGGGCGCCCTTGGCGAGCGCGTCCTCGGGCAGCTCGCGAATCGCGCTCGCGAGCTGCAGGCGGACGGGGTGGCTCATGACTGGGCCAGAACGCTGAACCAGAACGCTTGGGCCAGAACGCTGAACCAAATGTCAACATTGATAAAAAGACGCACGATAAGGATGCAAGGGCTACGGGCGGCAAGATAAGGATGCAATGGTGCATGGCTGCACGGGTGCAAGTGTCCAAGAATGCAAGGGCCTTGGGCGGCGCGGTAAGGATGCGCGGGCCGTGACGGCCTTGGACGCAAGGGTGGAGGGCAGAAGCAGAGGAGGATAATGATGATGATGATATTGTGGTAAGAAGAAGCATTGTGACCATAAGCCCCTAGCCCTCAACCCAACTCGAAAATGTTTAGTTCTTATGTTGCAAGTCCCCCCCACCTGCCTCCTCATCCCGTACGTTCCTCCGATAATGATGACGGGGGCGACGACGGTGCTTATGTCGATGACCGCACGGACAAGTAAATGACAGTGGCGGCTACGACCACGACGATAATGACGATGGTGGCGATTCTGATGATGATGATCATACGTGTGATGACGTTGATGGTGATGACGATGATGTCCATGATGATGATGATGATGATGTTGGTGATGATGCTGATGATGATGTTGATGATGATGCTGATGATGATGCTGACGCAGACAAACGCAGACAAAACAGACAAACGCAGACAAACGCAGACAAACGAGACACGAAAAACCAGCCACACCAGCCACATGGATGGCATGGATGGTGGAGAGAGTGGGCTTCTCTCCCAAGCAACGCTCCCATGGTTCTCGGGTCAGAGCTCGGCTCTCCACCGGCAATTCGGGGCGATTCCAACACCGCCGGAACGCCCTCGACGAGGTGCACCAGATCCCGAAAACTTAGGAACCCCGAGCAAAAACTTCAGAAAAAGAAGCCCTACAGAAACCTTCTACACCTGAAGTTCCCCCCCACAAGGTTGCCCCTGATCCTCGGGTCTGTGGAGGATGCCTAGACCTCCAGCGAACTGCTTTTTATAAGCTCGTGGGCCCCAGGACTCTGCAAGAACTCCCACCAGAAGCTCGGTCTCTTCGAGCCGCCGGCCCCTGGAACTGTCGACGCCTTCCCCTTGGTGCCCGCTGTCCTTTCAGGATCGCTCTCTTGACAATTCTAGGGCCTGAAAGCGGCCCACGGAGTCCAAATGATACGGGAGCATCTCCGACGTGTTTGTCTCGAGTCGCCAGGTGTCTGGGCACAGCAGGAATATTGCTGTGGCTGCATCCCCCTTTTCCTCGTGTCGAGTTTCGGACCTGAACGGGGGGCATGAGCGGCACAATGCCAGAAGGCACATCGGCTCCAGGTTGTACGGATTGCTGTGGTTGAGGTGGTCGTGTCGGTCGTACTAGTGGTGGTCGTGCTGGTGCTCGTGGTTGTGGTCGAAGTTGGGTGGCTTGTCGTAAGAGTCGACGTTGTGGGCACCTCCCCTGCGAACGCCCCAAAACTTTTGACCACCCTCGCTTCCAAGAGATACCAAGCGATGCCAAACTACGGCCTGTACTGGTCAGGCCGCTTGACGAGGATGCGCGTGGTATGACTTGGTTTTTCCTGGAAGCGAACGCGGGGTAGGTAATTCACGCTCTCTCAAGCCGCCGACAGCTTCGCCGCCATCCTAGGCGCGGTCTGCCATCACCTCGCGCATCCATCCGCAGGCCACCAAAAGACAGGCCCCAAACGGCCTGGCAACAAGTGCTGGCGGGGAAGCAAGGTCGGGCGGTCCTACAAATAACCCTGGGACGACCTCGCAAGCAACAGAGGGTATCCTGAAGCTCCTCCTACGTAGGAGTTCTCGCCTCACGCTCCTCCTCCTACTCCTCCTCCTGCCTCCTTCTCATGACGCCTGGCTGATGATCCATCTCCCTCCCTCCTTCCCCCTCTCTTGCCCCTCCCTGCTCGTTCTCCTAATTCCCCCTCATACTCGTCCTTCTCGTCTTTCTCCTCCCTGCCGTGATCTTCACCCTGCCCCTGCTGCTTTTCGCGGGCTTCAGCCTGCTCGGCATTGGCAAACCTGGGGAGCTCTACCAGGAACAGCAAATCACAAGGGGCATGAGACACAACAAGTTATCGCTCGCGATGCTGGTAAACAGCATGCTACCCTTTCCAGAAAAATAACTTCGAACCAGCCTTGCCAACGTTTTGCTTTTCAGCAGGGTCATCGCAGTGCTGAGCCCGATTCTCGGGTCGGGCGAAAGGGGGGGATAGCAAAGGGGGGGTTTGAGAATCAGCTCACGTAGCTGATTTTCCCGGCGCCTCCCGGCGCCGGAGGCGGCTATGTATCGAGGAATGGGCCCCTCGGTGAGGCCGAAACCAGCTGCATGCAGCAAAATTCGTACCCCCCCCTTTCCCAATCCCCCCCTTTCGACCGGCACGAGATTCACCATCGTGAACAGGAGGTCCGGCAGAAGCATGAGAGGCAGACAGCGAGGGCGAGCGAGGCCGCGCAGAGGCCGAGGCTGCAGGACGAGAGGAGGAGGAGGAGGAGGAGGAGGAGGAGGAGGAGGCGGAGAAGGAACACGCCTCCAGCACCGCTGCGGCGGCGACAGAGAAACCCTAGGGCAAGATCGGGCATGCCCTCCTGCACGCGGATGTTAGGCGAAAATTAAAAAGCATACCACAAATGTCCAGACATACTAAAAAACAGAAACAAAAACGCCCCCATATTGTTTTGATTATGTTTGACTATTCCCTGTGCAGAGGGACGTGCATGACTTAACCCTAGAGGCAGGGCTCGACGCAATTCATGTTTAGCAGTTCTAAAACTTCGTCACCAGCGAGACTCCCCGTCCTCTCGCGAACAACCTGGTCGCCCACGCCCTCCCGTGAAACGACCTTGTCGGAGCTCCTTATACGAGCGGTTGGGTGAGAGGGTTCAGGATGGTAGGATCCAATTGCATTCCTCCTACACGCGGGCATGTCGGGCATGTCCTCCTACAGGCGGGCGTTGGAGAAAAATTGAAACATGCCTCAAACATGTTCAAAACAGAATCAAACATTAATCAACAAATCGTCCCGAGCCGTTTCTCATAACTATTTTGGAGTATTTCTCCTGCAGAGGGACGCGCCCGACCTAATATTACCCCCATCGTGCGTGTATCGCCTCCAGTGCCACCCGCCAGTAACGGTCCCGCCGAATCCCCAACACCCAAAATAGAGTTTACTTGGGGCCAAAGGGAGGCCTTTGGCCAGCCACCCGCCGCCAAGGAAAACGCTGCCAACCCATCCACAAAAAACCCTGCCGGCCGACATTCAAGGTGGCCTTCCTCACAAGAAAAAACGGCATTAGCATAAAAACATTCGAAGGTCCGCGCGGATTTCATGGATCGGGGCAGGACCCCCCTCCATGGCGTTGGAGCCCGCAAGGGGCGGTGCCGGAGGCGCTGCCAGAGGGTGCCAAACGCGTAACCAAGAACTCCGCGCGGAGCTCCGAGAAATTATGTGCATGCTGCTTGTTGTTTTTCGACTGCAGGCATCCTAGATGGGGTCCGAACACATTGGGTTGGAGGATCTGGCCGCATCGCTGGCATAGTAGAACAATATGGCCAGGGCCAAGAAACTCATCAATGAAGAAATCAGCGCGCGGTTCCTTTAATACTCTCTTTGAAAAAGCCTGGGCCGACTTTTTGTTATTAACGCTGGAGGGGTGAACGTGCTCAAGAAACCGGGCCAGTTTCCCTGCAAGGTGGTTAAGAAACTCTGGCCCAGATGTTCGTCAGGGTGTTTCCTAATCGTATGTTCGGCTGTGCCGCGTCGATACATCGTCGATGCATCCTCGATGCATCCACGACGTCGGCGTGGAGAAGACCCCGGCTCCACATCGCGCCGCATCGCCGATGCATCGGCGATGCGGAGCGATACTGGGATATCCAAAAAATCCCAAAACTGCAACTCCCCGGACATTTCCCTGGGTGCGGTTGAAGCAGAGTTTTGAAGCGAATCTTCCGGTGGCGACAGAAGCCTCTCATGAGACCTGGAGAGGCAAAGACGAGGGGATGGTAGCAGTACGGGCACCTTTTCCTCAGGGCTGGGGGATTGTGGTTTACCTGCGTGTTCCACGGGAGTCTTCGTAGCTTTTCCCTCCTCTGCACTATGAGCCTGATCTCTCACTCTCTCTCTGTCTCTCTCTCTCTCTCTCTTTCTACACCTACATATATATATTTGTGTATATATATATATATTCATCTGTCATACTCTAACCTCTTAAACTGTACCATCCGTTTACCAACAGCATCACTCGCCAATTCAGTATGCCGTCAGTTTGCCATCTTTGCCCGCTCAGCCCTGACAAGGTCTGCCACGGAAAGGGGATATGTGATGCGCCTTGGCAAGATTGGGTAACCACCTGACAAGGGCTGCTAAGCTTTGCTAAGGCATACCTGTCCTTGCTAAGCGCAGCTGAGCCCTGCTACGCTCTGATAAGTTTTGGTCAGCTCTGCCCAATCTTGCTCAAGCAGCAAACAATTCACAGCCAGGATAAGCTCTGCAAAGCCATTGTCAACCCTGGTACTATACCTGGCCACGCTCTGTTCAGCCTCGGTAAGCTCTGCTGAACCCTGCTAAGCCTTGATAAGCCCTGCTAGGCCCTGTTCAGGCCTGGCAAGCTCTGTGCTAAACCTTACTAAGCCTTGCGAAGCTCTCAAGCCCTGCTGAGCTTAGCTGCGCCCTGCTAGGCCCTGTTGAAACCTGGTAAACCGTACTAAGCTTTTTGTGAACCCTGCTCAGCCCCAGTAAGCCTTGCTCAGCCCCGTTACGCCCTGCTATGCACTGCTGAGCCCTGGCAAGCTTTGCAAAACCCTGCCAAGTCCTGGTGCGCCCTGCTCCAATTGGTAAGCTGTGCTGAGCCCTTGTGTGCTCTGCCAAACCCTGCTTAGCGTGGTAAGCCTTTCGAACAATGCTGAGCTTGGCAGATGCTGCTGGGCCCTGCTGAGCTTTGCTGAGCCTCGCCCAGCCATGGCAAGCTTTGCTTCGACCTGTTAGTCCTTGCAAAGTCTCATGCCCTTCTGAGGTTTGCTGAGTCTTGGTGCGCCTTGCCTTACTCATCCCTGGTGAGCTCTGCTGGACCTGCAGAGACCTGGTAAGTGTTGCCAAGCATGGCAACGCCCGGGAAAGCTCTGTTGAGCCATGGTAGAACGCCTTGCAGAGTCCTGCTCAGCCTTCGCATCCTTTGCCAAGCCCTGCTGAGCCTTGCGAATCTTCACGCCCAGCGGAGCTGTGCAAGCCCCTGCTAAACCTTACGAAAAAAAACTTGCAAGCCTTGGAAAGCCCTTGGAAGCCTTGGCAAACTCTGCTGGGCCGTGCGAAGCGCTGTTAAGACCTGGCAAGCTCTCCAAGACCCTGCTAAATCCTGGTCCGCCCTGCTTAGCTCTGGCACGCGTGGGTCAGCCCTGGTAAGCTCTGCTGAGCCCTGCTTAGCTTGGTGAGCCTTGCTGAGCCCAACTAAGCTGTGTGAGCCTTGCTAAAGTATGCTGGGCTTTGCTGCTGGGCCTTGCTCGATCGCCCATGGGAAACTTTGTTGAACCTTGCAAATCATTGCGAAACCGCTCACCCTGCCAAGATTTACTGCGCCCTGCTAGGCCCTGCTCAGACCCAGCAAGCATTGCCAAACCTTTGTGCGCCCTGCTAAACCTTGATGGGAATGTGTAAAACCCGACTGGGCCCTGGTGAGAACTGCTAAGCCCTGGCGAACGTTAAACCCTGCTGAGTCCGGGTCCGTCGTGGTTCGTCTGGCAAGCGTTGCTAAGCCCTGGTAATCTCTGCTGGGCCATGCGAGGCTAGGTGATCCTTGCTAAGCTCCGCTGCACTGGGTCAAGCTTGCTAGACCCTGCTAAACCTTGCTGGGCCCTAGCTACGCCCTGGTCGACCCGGCGAATTACGCCGTGCTGAGCTTTGCTAGGTATTGCTAGTGTCTGGCCATCTCTGCGAAGCGCTGCTGAGCCTTGCAATGCCCAGCGAAGCCGTGCTCAGCCTTGGTGAGCTGTGCGAAGCCACGGTAAACGTTGGCGCATCCTGGGAAGCCCTTGGTAAGTTGTGCTAAGCCCAGGTAAGCCTCGCACGCCCTTGCTAAGCTATGATGAGCTCCGCATCATATCAACGAGTCCTTGGTTGGTAAGACATCCCCACCAGGGAATCCATGGTGGAGATTCCTGGGTGAAGCGGCCCAGGATCCCTTGCGCAGGAGTCCCTAAAATCGTTGGCACGGGATCCTTGCGCAAGAGCCCCTTGCGGAGATCTTTCTGGGTGGCCCTGTGCCAAGGAGGCCCGGGCGAAACTTTTTCGGGGCCCTCGGCGAGGGGCCCCAAGCGTGGAACCCGAAAGAAAGAATCCCTGAGGAGGAATCATCCGCTGGGGGTCGTTAGCAACGAATCGCTGGCATGAGGGGTAGTGGGCCAGAATCCTCGACGAAGAGCCCTTAGTAATAACATCAA